ATTTTAATATGTGTAATTTGTAAGAAGAATAAGTAAATAAAATAAATACGCTCCTGTTACGACTTTGACAAAGCTCGGAGCAAAGAAGGAGACAACTAGAAAAAATTTGGCTTCATTGTTTTATTCCTTGATGCTCCTTCCTTTAGTATTTCTAATTCGTTGGTTGCTTATTATTCAAATTCGCAGAACGATGAACATAAGTTCAAGATGTCCATGTTGTACTTTTTCCTTCATATAACATGTTCCATTTATAAAATGTGATCATTTTTTTTACTCCTCATGAGTTTGTTAATACATTCAACAGAATAACTGTTCTTTTATAGCCGTGTATAATATAAAGTTTACTTTTGCTTTAAAATACTTTTTCTCCATCGGTCTAGTTAGCATTCTATGGATCATAGAGTTGTTTCTAATTTAAATATAGTTTAATTTTGAATTTTGTTGTTTCAATCGCAATAAAATCTGCTTTGATAAAGTGCGTATGTAGCGCACGAAATATATTAGCAAAAATAAAAGTATTTTATTCCAAAGCAAAATAATAATGTAAAATTTCTGCAAAAAAGCAGTTGTATTTTGTTAATTCGTTGGTCATTAAAAAATTTGTATCGCCTTGCATAAGCAATTAAAATTGAATTCGTACATGCGTTAAAAAGGAATTCGATTTTTTTATTTGTGTGCATTTTGAACGATTTGTGAAATTATGTTTTTTTTTGAAGACATTTACTTTTATTTTAAATTTTAGAAAACTTACACTTTTGAAAAGAATGAAAAGTCGAAAATTTAAATTTTTCTTATTTTAAACAAGAAAAATTAGTTGACCTTGCCAACTCTGTGATACCCGTACGAATTTATTATGCTATGTGCAAATAAATTTGCCATTATGATCTATGAGACAGACTATGACTTTAAACTGCCGTATTACCATATTAATTTATGCAAAACTTCAGTACTGTGTTCAAACTATGAAGTTGTATTGACTAAATCAACTCAGAATTCGACGCTGATCAAAAACATACACTTGAGTCTATGCGTTCGTCCGGGTATAAAAACTATCTCCTTGGAGGAGAGCAAGGTTAAAAAAAGTCTTGGTTTAACAAAATAAACTATAATGAATTGCTACAAACTGTGAAAAACAAAAGCTGGTTCAACGAATCTTAACATTTTCTTCTGTTGTACAGTCGAAAAAGCAAGTTTTCACATTTTCTGGATTTGCAGAATTCAAAAAATGTTTGAAATTTTAAGAATGGTGATAAAAATTTTAATTAAAATTTGTTCTAGAAAGGTGGGACTCATTCGTATATTTCAAGATAGTGATAGGGCGATGGGCAGAGTAAAACTAATAAGCATATTTTTTCTAAACTTTGTTGGGAATGTAGAAAGTGAAAAACACAATTTTTCCTAAACTTTTCTTCAATGTGTTCTGTATTAATTGTGTTCTCGAGGTATTTATTATACTAAAAAGAGAAAAATTCAGTTTTTTAAATATGTGTGTATATGAATGTACATAATAATTATGTATGTGTGTGTAAACTTTCTTGATATGATATTTGCAAATTTCAAAAATAAAATATGTATCTCCAAGGAGAAACATATTCGTTTTACTCATGGAACGAGCTATTATTTTTTCTTTATAAAAAAATAACAATATTAAGTGTATTTTCTTACAACCCAGTTTTGGTTTCAAATAAAAAAAAGGTCTAGACAGTCAAAGAATGTTCATGATAATCTGTCGGTTGATTACACAAAGTGAAATAAAAAATGAATACATACATATGTATATGAAAATGAATGTGTACATCAAAATGCCAGAAAAATTTCATTATTCTCTAACCAGGCAAAATAATAACGAATTAATCAAGGATAAACTCAAACAAAAAAATAACCTTGAAAACTTTTCCATAGGTAATAGAAAGTTCATTTTTTAAATTACCTCAGAAAGTTCAAAAAAAATTTTTAAATGAAAATATTTTAAGTTAAGAAACAGACTTTTTTCTTTTAGAAAAAAACTGGAATTAATAATTGTTTTGAATTTGACACAAAAATATTTTTTTAAGATAATTTTGTAAAAAGTTTTATGACACATTTGGTCTTTTCATTTTAAAAATTTAATTACTACTTTGAATAAAATTTTTTAAGTAAATTAAAAAGGTAAAGTAAGTTAGTTGTTGAATATTTTAACACAATATTTACATAGGTAGAGTAGTAAATGTGGTGATTGTGGCGCAGTCGGTTAACGCGAACCGCCATTATACCCTAGAAACTATACATGTAATGTCCTATTTATGCATGTCGTAACATGCAAAATTATAATTATTAATAAGAAAAAAAATGTTTATAGCTTTCAGTATCTGAACTGTTACATAAAATATTGTAAATAGCTTTGTGCACCGGTACGATAAAATTGGTTTCTGCCAAAGCAGTGTTTTTTGCCATACAAAAATTCTGTTTAGAACAATTCCATGTGAGCATTTATTTTGACTATAAAATTTATATTTTTTTCGAAGATCGGAATTCCGTGTGTTATGGAACATTACGCTTCCGGTATTTTGGCCAACATTTTTACATGTATTTTAATTTTGTTGAATAAAATTTAATTTTGATTAATTTTATTTTCTAAATTCGTTTTATGTAGTCTTTTGTGTCCTGGTTAAATGGACCACGATCCACCTTTGTCTCACGTGTCGCCCAAATTTCCCATCCATTTTCAAAACTTTGCCAACTTCACTTTTTGCACTGAAAATGAATTTGCAGCAAAATTGTTTCACATAAAAGTCTCAAATTTCGTATTTGAAATGGTAATAAAATAATCTATGACTGTGGCTCTTGCCCGGGTTAAAAAGATTTAAGATAACGGAGAAAACTGCAAAAACGAAATAGGTGGTCCACGATCACCGCTCTATATATAGATGTATATATAAAAGATAAGAAAAGTTTATTTCTTCATTAAAGTTTTTGATAAATTCAGTTTGATTTAAAATAATACAAAATTACCAAACAAATTTTCAGCCGTTTATTTGCCCTTTCCTTTTTACTTTCATTTTCGATTTTCTTAAAAAATTTTTTGAAAAATATTTTCAATTTAAACGATATTTTGAAAACATAGGCAATTGATTTTTATGGTAAAAATAGACAGTCGGACTGGATTTTAGATAATTTGAAGTCATAGAATAAATCAGCATCAAATTCAATTTTAGCTCCAAGTTTCCGGTTCTAAAACATCATAAAATTGTTATCCGGATTTTAAATATTTTTAATTTTTGTATGTGTTTAATAGTAATTAGTTATTTGAGTTCAGATAAATTTATTGATAGTCAGATGCGTGGTCACAAAACAAGCTCATTGTAAAAATTGCTAACAGGGGATTTAAAATCCACTCCAGTGGATTAAAATCGTTTATTACTGTTAACTTAGCAGAACTATACTCATCCTTTCAAAATATCAAAAAAAAAAAATAAAAATATTTGAAACAAGTAAAAACGTTTCAGTCGGTATGAACCGATTGAATTATGTTGGTATGAACCGATTAGGTATGAACTCTGCACTTTTTGTTGTTGTATAGCAATTACTCAAACCTGTGAAACCATTCTATAGAAACTTCACGGATATGTCTGGCCTATAATTGGACATATGACTGCCAAGTTTCATGAATCTGACTTTATTATTTTTCCAAATATTTAAAATAAGCTTTTGGACTTGTATTGGAGCTACTTGAACCTGTCAAGCAATTCAACCAAAACTTCAGAAATATATCTGACCTAAAACTGGACACACAACTGCTAAGTTTCATGAATTTAACTTTATTATTTTTCCAAATATTTAAAATTAGCTTCTGGAGTTGCATGGCAAGTACCCGAACCTGTCAAGCAATTCCACTAAAACTTCAGAAATATATCTGACCTATAATTGGACACATGACTGCCAAGTTTCATGAATCTGACTTTATTATTTTTTCGAATATAAAAAATTTGCTTTTAAAGTTGTATGGCAGCCACTCGAACCGGTGCAGCTATCCCATTAAAATTTTGTAGTATACATAGAATAAAATTGGACACATGTATATAAAATTTTATATTGATACCCTTATTAGTTTTTGAAATAATTAAAATAAACTCTTTGAGTTGTATGGCAGCTACCGGAACCCCTTGTCCGAATTGGTCCAATAACAGTAGGGTTCGTCCTTGGCACAAAAGAAACAACTTGTGAAAGTTTGGTGTCGATTGCATTATTCGTTTTTGAGTTATCGTGCGATCGAACCGACTGACGGACGGACATGTCTAAATCAACGCAGAATTTTACGCTGAGCAAGAATATATATATATGTCCATACAGCAGATGACTCCTTCAAGTAGTTACAAACTCCATACCAAAGTTAATATACCCTTCACGAAGTGCAGGGTATAAAAACTCGTTTAGAACTAAAGCTTTTCTAGAAAAGAAGCGAAAATCTAACATGTCATTTTTGCAAAGAAATAAATTCGGGTTTGTTGATTGAGAGACAATTTTTGTGAGTTACACCGAAGTGGTACGCCAAATTCACTGTACGATATTCTCCGGAGAACTGCAATTGTTCGTTATTTAAAAATGTTTTGTTTCATGAACAAAATAACGGAAAATACTAGATCAATTATGCACATAGACAGAAAATAAAGTGAAAAAAAAAGGTTCGTCGAGCAAAATATTTACAAATAAAATGTTTTTCTGAAAATAACAGCAATTATCAGTAAACCAATTGTTTTTTATAACACTTTCTAACATTATTGTCAATATTAATCTCTTTTGAATGTTACGTTGGGGCATTAAATTCTAATCAATTTTATTTAACATTGTTTAATTTTTCTCGACTTTGAAAAGCAACTTCAGCTCCTAATTGAACAATCAAATCATTTTATTTTAATTGTATTTAAAAATTCTGACAATTTTTTTTTTAAATAAAATTTTCAAATCATTTATTTTATTAATTTTATTTATACTATAATATATTATTCTATTTTTTAGGTGAAGTTGAACGCCTTCTAAAAGAGTACCGTCAAAATCAAGAATTAGTTAGAAGGATAGGCGGACATTATTATCAAATAATATATCCAGTACAGTTACGGCATCACGAAAAGATGGGTATATCAACACGTGAAGTTAGCCCACCAAAGGTACGAAATCGTATACGAAAACGAAATTCAATTCCTTATAGAAACACGGTATGTTTTTTAGCATAAATACACCAAGAAATTAAAAAATATTATATTTTTTCCTTAAGAATCAATTTTTAAAGAAGACAAATCCCGATTTTGTTTTTAGTTGCTCATCATAATTTGATGTAAACACATTTTTTAACGCTGTTTTCAATCAAAATTGAAAACAAGATGTTATTGTATGTGTAAAAACAAATTAAATTTTACTATATTATGCAACTCATTATGTGATAGGAATGTATTGAACTTAGTTTAATGAAAATAATTCAGTTCTTAAAAAGTTTTAAAATACGTCAAAGTTTTTAGAAAATATATAATTTGTTTTCAAAAATCTAATTAACCTGTTTTTACAAATTTAATTAAAAGTTTTCAAAAAATAATATTTACCAATGTATGATCATCGTAATCTATATGACACTACCGTGTTTCTAAAAATTCAATTTTCAAATCTGCACATAAATTCATAATAAGATTTTTTATTATAATCATTTAATCATAAGATGAAAAGTAATCGCTTATACCTGAATCAATTCCTCACATTATAGCAGGAGTGTCCACGAAATGATTAACTATAATTTAAATATACTAGTACAGTAGAAATTATATTATACAATGCCATGTGAAAAACATGTTGCATTGCAGAATAAATTTACAGTTATGCTGTAACTAATGTTTAATTAACAAGAATTACGACTTTTAAAATAAATTGAAAATGATATTAATTCGTTTAAACCTGTTTAATGTTTTAGTTTATTTATTTGAATTAAATGTATTGCTTAAAGTATAAAAAATTACGTAAAAAGAACGTTGTCGAACAATATTCAATTGAAGCTCAATAAATCACAGTTACAGTCTAGAACTTTGATTGTAAATTTTACTAGGTCCACAGAGTAACAAGGCTTAATAAGGGACATAATTTAAAGGCTTGAATTAATATTAAAATTTTTAGTCAGATATTTAATTTTTAATTTGTTTAAAAAATTGCGATGGCAGTTAACAAAACAAGTCCAATGTACAAAACCAGTTTTACGCTCTTCTTCGAACAAATTTATTTAATTCATTTTCCTATTTATATAACAGTTTACATAATTTTTCATCCAATATGTATATAATAATTTTATACCCGTGCGAACATATGTTCAAAGGGTATACTAAATTTGCCTTACCGTTTGTAACGCTAAGAAATAATGGCCTTAGATATAGGTTCAAGTGTGTTTTTGATCAGAGTCGAATTCTGAGTCAATTTAGCTTTGTATGTCCGACTGTCCGTCCGTCAATCCCAACGATAGCTGAAAAACTAATTGAGCTATTTAAATTCAATATGATCGTGGTACTGGTTCGGGTAGCTGCTATACGATTTCAAAATTAAATTATTTTACATAAAAAATATTTAACTATATTTCAGAAACTATAAAAGCCGTGGTATTGAAATTTCAACCAAGCAAATATATTAGTAGGGACAATGTGTTTGATAGAAGTCATTGAAATTGCTTGGCTCTTTCTAGTATCATTCAACTTTAGCCATAACATAGTAGTTTAGCCATATCTTAGAAAATATTGAAAAGTACTGAAATTTTGCATAAATTAATATGGTAATATGACAATGTAAAGTTATAGTCTGTCCCATAGTCAGCTATGGCATATTTATTCGCATGGCTATGGCATATTTATTCGCAAGTTGACACGGTCAACTCTATTTTTAATAATTTTAATTAAAATGTCAGACTCATTGACATCCTTATCAGCAGTGCGCTTTGCTCTAATTTTTAGTATGTTTTAAATTAAATTGTATAATTATATCGTGGACCTTCTGCATTATAGTCTTTAATCATAATTTTATATACACATAATATTTTTATATTGCAAAAACACATATGTATATATGTATATCGTATAATTATATAATATGTACGCATATCATAATAAAATATCACTAAAGGTCTTAGCAAGCACTTTCATTTTTCATTTTCACACAACATAATCTACATAATATACACCGATTTATACATACGTATATAAGTATGTATGTGTTTACCAATTATATACATATTTAAAAATTTTGTAATTAAATTAAATGAATCACGCATGAGATTTAATTAACACAAATCTAAGAGTCGCTAGCAAAAACATTAATTCATTTTTCAATAATATAAACATATTAATGTACATGTATGTACAAATAGATACAAACAATGTATGTACGTACATATAATATATTTCTATAAATAAATGTGTGTGATGTCAATCAAAAGTATTTTAATGGAGGGAAATTATATATCAAGGATAGAATAAACTTTATAAGAAAATTTAATTTATCAACTTTCAACTATTGCCGAAACCAGAATATTTAAAGATAATAAGAGATTAAAAAAAACATCATGAAAATTGTCGTTGGAATGATATTATCGACAAGACTATTATAAATGTTATTCCTTAGAAATAAAAATAAGAGTTGCTCATAATACAAAATAATTTGACACATTACGATTGAGAAAATCCCACATATCTACAATAGGAAGTGCCGGTGTTTGTGTTAAATCAAATACATATACAATTTAAATTAAAAGATATTTGGGGCTCAATTGAGATATGTATATATTTATGAAAACGACCTTTGAAAAAAAGAGAAATAGCTTTAATGCACCTTTATTTATTATCCTAAAGTACACTGTTAATTATTATAAATAATGTTTTTGCAAGAGCATTCTTGATGGAATATTAATGCATATTTGAAGAATAAAAAGATTAACATTTTAAAGTATGCATTTAATACGTATAGAAAGAACAAAAAAGAACAAACAAATCTAGTCTAGGAGTGACTGCAACAAGACCACACAAAATAATGAAATGGAAAAACTCGACAATTTGAGTTTATAATCGAATTGTTTTTAAAGCTCTACGATCAGTCAAAAAAAATGTACGAATATCTCAATGTAATGAGCCGCTTGGGCTGAGAAAATCCAAATTTTTCATTTTTTTTTTCATCGTTGAAAGGAACTGCTAAACTAATTTGAGTTAATTTGCGAAAACTGAGTATTGTTATAAAAGAGACAATAGCAAATATCATATGTAGTTAACTGAGGGGTTTTTAATCGTATAAATTGCCACTAAAAGATTCTAAATTAAACAGTATCAACTCAAATATTTCCGTAGAATTATTAGAATCATATAACGAATCAATTATTTTCTATTTAATTTTTAACACTTTTCCAAAAAATTTCCGTCCGTCCTTCCGTCCGTGGATAGTTTTTTTGTTTACAAAACTTCTACACCCTTGAAGATAGAAAGCTGAAATTTAATACATACATAGATCTTTACTAGAAACTTATTTTCGTAGAACAACATCTTTACCTGTCTCCCTCCCTCTAGAAGTTATACCCCCCAAAACCTTAATAATTGCCTTTTTTAACTATTTGTTGATAAATGAAACCATAAGCATTTTTCACATTTTGCAAACGCAGAAAGGCAGCGGCTTGCTTCTCCTATCGTGGCATACTAATAAATGCTTCATTTCTTGATAAGAAAATTTTTTTCCACGTCCACCCCCTCACAAGTTATCGCCTCTTAAAATTTGTAAAATTTGAATTTTTGATACCTTATATTTCCGAAACCGAAAGATTTTTAAAATTTCTACAAATGCAAAAAGCTAACTGTAAATTCCATGACATTAAAATATATAATTATTTCCCTTAATTCACACAATTAACCCTTAAAATCGAGCATTATGTTAACCCCACTTTATATTAATTTTCGCTTTATTTCAAAGACTGCATAAATCATTCATCCTAAATATATGCAATCCTAGAAATTGTTTCGTTTATGAATGAAAATTATTTTAACAGTGTGGTGGATATACATAGACGGTATTTAAAAGCAGTATTTTCACTTGTTGAAGGGAAAAGTGCTACAATACAAACCATTGGTTTAACCCAACTTTATTTAAAAAACGCGGTTATATTATAAAGCTTACTTTTTTAAGACTTCACTATTGCAGTACGAACAACCATGCAGACATGATCAAGTTATTCTTGAAATTGTATGGTGGCTTTTATTAAGCTCTACACACTCTTTATTACACTTCGCCAGAAACGTTTTAGTAATATCGCTGGAATAGTAAGCATTTGCCGCTAAAATAGTATGTGAATTCTTGAGATTTGACACAATTATTTCACTGTCTGGATTATACCTACGTTTAATATATAATGTATGAGTTTGAAATTTACAAATCTAAAGCACTTGTAAAAATTGAGTAAATTTTAATTCAATTAGTTTTCTTAGTTATGAACTTTATTTCTGCCAAGGGGAAAAATACCTAAATTGACTAATAAAAGTTACCCTTCTTTTTTTATTGAGTTTTGGAAAACTATATTAAACGTGTAATTAGCGACATTCCTAGTGAAATCATAAAATTATCATTGAAAAGATAAATGGCAACAACTGAATTTCATTCGGTTCTTTTAAAGATTATTCAAGGAGCTTTTCATCTCTTTTTCCCCTAAAAGCCAATTGCTTCCATTGTAAATCATCATAATTTTGATGACATTGAAATATGTACTTATGCATACTTTAATAGAATAAAAATTTAACTCACGATATTACACTCTGCGTTAAATTTAACATCTGAGTAAAATATGTAACTTAGTTTCGGAAAGGGGTTTAATTAATCATTGGAAAATTTTTATTTTTTTTTTCAACTTATCTCCCTATCTCATATATACGAAGTCAAAAGTTCACTTCTACTCAATTCTGTTCACGTTTTATTTATATAAATAAGAATAAAACCAACTTATTTATCTACCATTTTCATTATAAAAATTCCATTTACTTCAGAAGATTGTATTTCTAATCATTTGATTAAAAGATATAAATTCATCTTTTCTACTTGAAAGTACGTTGGAATGATTTGCTTGAGAGAAAAAAATTCTTAATGTCTTTTGTCCTCTGTTTTCTTTTGTTAT